ATTTTAATCATTAATTTTAAAGAATCTATAACTTTTTTAATTCTTGAGAAAAAACCTAAATAGATATTGTATTGTGAGATGGATGGAGTATTATGTATACTATATTTAGTAGCGAGTGAGTAACGGGTAAAAACCTGTCCTTAGGGCCTAGGGGAGGGGTAAACAACTTGATGGTTCGTACACTCGTACAGGTTTGAGAAGTAAACGAAAAAACCTATTTATGGACGGTCTTGGCTTTACTTAAGAAATACTCAGTATACTCCAATACTCCATCCATTTTAAAAGGCATAAAAGACACATGTAGCTTTTGAAGTTAACTATGACTTTCAATTCCTAAGATAATAGAAGGTCAACGCATTATTTAATACGGAGTATTCAACTAATTAAATAACAACCAAGATATATTTGGAGGTACACGTGTAGTCTTCTTGTGATAACTTTTTCTGTCTAAATGTATTGATTTATATAATATTTATTATGATGTCAAATATAGTAAAATTTGATTAGAAAATTATCTAGTAATTTCCTCACCTATTAACTTGAAAGAGATTGAGGCCATAAACTTTAAAAAAAAAATCTAAGAGATAAAGATCTTTGTACTATACACAAGGGTACAATAATGAGACATTGTGTGTAAGTGGCTAAAGTGAGCTTGAAAATTTACTAATGGTTTGTTATTTACCTTTACCAATTTTAGTAGTACAATTATTGGTCATAAAATTAAAGTGTATGGCATGAAATAGTCATCATACTACTATGATACAAAATATCACAATCAAACTCCAGATCAGCTACGACTGTGAAGGAAACATGGGAATCATAGCCGTCGACATGACTAATACATTATTATTGGCTAAGAAACAAGAGTAAAGTAACGATTTTTTTTTTTTTTTTTTAATTAATAAAAGGGAATATGATTTCAAAATTATCTTCGTTCTACGTTAAAGTAATGTTGAAGCTACACATAAGTGGTAATTAGGATTGTTTATCGGTCTAAAATTAAAAGTAATGTTTGCACCCTATCACGTAGACTCCTTGATTAACTCAATTTCTCTCACAATCTCGTTTCATACTGAATAATTTTATATGGAGTAATATAATATATATGCATGCTTAAACCTAACAAGAATATTAATGAAGGAGGAAGTTTCGTCATGTGAAATGATTCACGTCTTATCACACTTCAACTCATCCAAAGATATTTTTGTCCTTTTAACAAGCATTAGCCATCTAGCACATTAGAATTAGATGTATTGACTTAAACAATCAATAATAATTTCCCCCCTTCTCTGTTTTTTTAAAGAAAGTTATAATGCTAGTTAGCTTCTAGGTACGACCTAGTTATGTACATGTTTCATAAGGCCAATTATTAGTCCATGCTATTCTATGGACTATTCCTTTATGGCTATCAAAAGAATGTCACAACTTGCCACTTAATTCTTCAAATGGCCACCTTCCTAAGGGTCATGATTTGTTTTCATGCTTACATGATAAACTAGGCGCTCCAACTCTCTATTTGCTACGTAGTACAATGATCATTGTTTGTGGGGTGGAGCCGTAGAGGCATTCACCCCACAAACAATAATAATTTCGTAAATATTTGGAAAGTTAAACGTAGTACCATTATTTTAACGAGTCAAAAAGTACTGAGTATTGTAATAGTGTAACTGCATTACATTTACTTGTCATAATACTTCAAACGCTTACAATGATACTTTAAAAAGTAAAATATGGACATAGGGTACTAACAAATGGTTATCCTATCCTAAGCATCTTATTTTACTCGTATCATCCCATATGAATTTGTGTAAGCTTTAGGTCATACATGCGAAGTAAATTAAAATCACCGTTTTACCTCCGTGAGACGTTAGTAATACTTTATAATTAGTTTATAATAAAATACTCTAGTCTCTAGATGAGCTTTATTAATGTTAAGTACTTTATAAAAATACTGATTTTAAGGGGTATAATATGAAATTTTTAAACACTAGTTTTATTTTTACATAGATAATAGATTTAAAAGTCATTAACTTGATGTTTGTTTGTTTGTGTAATGTGGGATGCAGGTCCAATATATACATATTCAACAGGAAATAGGCAACATTTATATGTAAATCAACCTGATCTAGTGCGAGAGATGAGCCAAAGCATGACTTTACATTTGGGTAAACCTACTTACGTCTCCAAGGCACTTGCTCCTATGCTTGGCAATGGCATTTTGAGATCCAATGGTACTCTTTGGGCTCAACAAAGGAAAATTATTGGTGCACAATTCTTTATGGACAAAGTTAAGGTATGAGCAATTTCTACCCCATCTGTTACGTTTTTGACTTTTTGCATTATTTACGTAATCCACTATATGTTGGTGAGTTATACATAAAAAAACATATAGTCGTGTGGATTTTGTTAAAATCTTCTATAGCATAATTTATATTCAATGACAATTAAAGATGTTTATTATTGGTCAAAGTTCTGCATTGGTACATGTGTTCGGTAAAAATGGGGTACTTAATAAAATTTTCCGAACATTCTGAAGTAAACATGACTATTAGTCTAGACTGTTCTTAGATTAACTATTAATTTGAAAGATTATCACGATATTTTTTTGGACAGTCGATGATGGGTTTGATGAAGGAGGCAGCCCAAGAAATGTTGGGAAAATGGGAAGCTTGTATTGAAGCCCAAGGTGGGTCAATAGCAGAGGTAAGAGTTGATGAGGATTTAAGGGCAACTTCAGGTGACATGATCTCGAGGGCTTGCTTTGGTAGCTCTTATTCTAAAGGCAAGAAGATTTTCTTAAAGTTAAGGACTCTTCAAAAACTTCTCTCCAAGCAAAATTTTCTCTTCAAGGTGCCCACAATCAGGTTTGTACTTCGTATGTTTTCATGTGCTTGTTAAATGGTCTTTTCCGTGTTTTTTACAAAAATGGATTGTATGTGTATCCTATATAACAAGTATAATATAAATGATAAACGTAACCTTTTACTTTCGGATGTAAAACTGATTATATTTAGTCCTTTTGAGTTAAAATAAACGTACATGTACATAAGTTTGAAAACATACTACTAGTAGATAGTTATAGTAATAGGTGTGTCATAGAAAGACTAAACTCGTATCGTGTATGAGAGTATTATATAGAGTTTGTTCTCGAAAAAGAGTACTCTGTATGTAGTACAAGTACATTTCTGTGAGTTGATGTTCATTAGTGGATAAAGATCAAACATATATTTGCTTTTGTTGATAAATGAATGAACCTTATAATTGACAGGTTCTTGAACACTAAAGTTCAGAAGGAGGTGAATTCCTTGGAAAAAGAAATAGAGTCACTGATTTGGGAGGCAGTTCAAGATAGAGTACAAGAATGCTCTAAGAGATGTTCCTCTGATAAGGACCTCATGCAATGGATCCTTGAAGGGGCAATGAACGATCCAGATTTGGACAAGGGTTCATCCAAGCAGTTGATTGTCGACAATTGTAAGAACATCTACTTTGCTGGCCACGAATCAACGGCCGTGGCTGCTTCTTGGTGCTTGATGCTGTTGGCATTGCATCCTGAATGGCAAGATAACATTAGGGCTGATGTTAATCAATTTTGCAAAAGCAATGAAGATCATGATCTTCTTGTTCCTGATGTTGAGACTCTTCTTAAGATGAAATCAGTATCTCTCTCAACCCTTTTTTCCCATATTTATTTCTTAGTGATTGACGGATTATTAGGGGATCCAATGTAGACCTGACAAAACTGAATGACTTGAATTAACTTAAAAAAAATGCAGGTGACAATGGTGATTCAAGAAGCCCTAAGATTGTATCCACCGGCAGCCTTTATATCTAGGGAGGCACTAGAAGAGTTTCAAATTGGAGATATTTTGGTCCCAAAAGGGGTGTGCATATGGACCTTGATCCCAACATTACATAGAGACCCAGAAATATGGGGTCCTGACGCCAATGATTTCAAGCCTGAAAGGTTTGCTAATGGAGTTTCTAATGCTTGCAAAGTTCCCCAAGCTTATCTTCCTTTTGGACTCGGTGCTCGATTATGTGTTGGCAAAAACTTTGCCATGGTGCAATTGAAGCTCTTGCTTTGCAACATTGTCTCTAAATTTAGCTTCACTTTGTCCCCCAAGTATATACATTTACCTACTTATAGAATGATTGTTGAGCCGAAGCATGGTGTACATATTCTTATTAAGAGAATATGAGAACATTTAGTAGTGACAAATATATTTTTTAGTTTAATGTTAAGTTTTGAGGAAAAAAAATGCTCTCTCTAGTAAGCTTGGTTGTATTCACAAGAAGTGTCATTTAAAGTTAACAATTCTAGTAGAAGGGCAAATGGTAAGACAAAATCTTTTTTTGGCCCCAACAATTTAAAACATACTAGTATTTAATATAGAAATGACCTTCTTTCATAAAAATATAGAAATGACCTAGCTTTTCAAAGAACCATTATGATATCATATTATACTATAATTTATAAAAGTTACATATAAAAGAATATTTATACGAGTTTCAAAGTTTTGCCAAAATTTAAGTCATTCAAAGTCTATGGTTTCATATTCATGTGGTTTCATATTCATGTGATGTTGCTTATAGCATTATAAAAATATAATAAAAACAAAAAAAAAAACCTCATCCCTACACGTTGGCAAATCCTTCAATTTTCTAGCATCTATTAGTCGATTAAAAGTTTACAACATTATCTTCTCAAGAATCAAAATAAGACACAAATCTTTAGTAGTCAAAACACATCTACTCATATTACAATAGTAACAACCTTTTACTTTACTTTGAAGTTAAAACTTTATATTCTTCCAAGAGTATATGATGCGTATTAAGCTTCCGAAACTAGTTCTAATTTCCACTTCTCTCCTCGGATCCTATAATCCTTTACCCTTATCTAGCGTGTGAACAATGATAAGGTATAAATCAAAAGTAAAAGAAACACACATAGTACAACATACTACGTATAAGCATCCCCACCACAAAATTGAATTTCAAGAAAAACCCAACAAAAAAAACATAATCACCTTGAAAATGAGAAGAAATGGCAATTTATTACATCAAGAAACAAATTCATCTTCCCTATTACATGTAACACCAATAACATCAATAATAACGGCAAAAGATTTAACAATAAACTTCCTCCAATTTTCATATCCACAAACCCATCATACATAAACATTGACACTTTATCTAATCTCTACCTCTCTTGCAATCACTCTCCTCATCGTTTTCCATTAACATCAGACGGTATCGACACCCGAAAACTCGGTGTCGCAGTGTCTAACAGCTCTGTGGCGGTGTCGGTCTTCGCCGAGGTTGGTGGTAGTAATGGTGGTGTTGATGACGTGGAGGAGAGAGAAAAGGGGTTGTGGGGGAGGATATTGCCAGCGGTGGTGACGCCGGAAAATGGTGAATTGGTTGGGTTTGGACGGGCAGTTTCTGATCTGGGGTTAACTGCTTCTATTTATGATGTCATGGTTAGTCTCTTTGGTTATGATTTTATTTTTTTACCACCCGTTTGGTAGCCGATCATTTGGTAATGGTTTTATTTTTTTACGGCTCAATTGGTAGCCGATCATTTAAGATAGTACTCGTGCTTAGTTTTACTGTATTAGAATTGTTTATGGTATCAGTTGATATGGTTCAGAATTCAGATTATAGTTTCCTCTTTAACAGTGGTGTTTTCCAGGTCATACCTTATTTGCGACGGTTGGGGATTGGTCAGATGATAGTTCAAAGAATCTTAAGGTTAATTTAATTTCTTGTACATTTCGTAATTGTATAAGCATCTATGTTACTCGGACTTTTTATTTCAAAATCAAGTTTTTGTTCAAAGAACTTCAACAAGTACTCTGAAAGGGAATGAACACTTCACAGTTCACTTTATGTTAAGCTAAAATTAGGTTCATTTACATGAAATCGACTTTGACACATTCTCGTGTCTGACATAGTACCCAACTCCGAGTAACATAGATGCTTACGACCAGTCTATCATACCATTATTACCAATAAATGATAAAACTAGCATACTGGTCTAAGATTATATTTTTTACTGTCTTCCAGAATTCTTACTAATAAAGGAATATACGACATATCAGCTCTCTGCTCCGAGGAAGAGAGGTATCACTCCAAGCACATTATTCTTTCTTAAAAGATATGAGCAATAGGAGGATGTATCTCATATCTACATCTTACAGATTATTCTTCGCGGCATGTGGATTTGGAGACGATGTTTTAGGATCGACAACAATGATGTACACAAACACGGTTTCTAGCAATTCTGACAATGGCCAGATAATTACACAAGCTGGTCGAAAACTGCTAGTAGCACCACCTTTAAGACGACCCTTCCCGTCTCAGAAACAACCTCCACACTTGGCTTGCTGAAAGTGAATGATACATCCCTTTATTCTGTAGAATATCAGTTAATATATTCAAAGTCCTTTTATGAATATATATGTTCTTAAGCTCAAAATCTGCCACTAAAATTTCTTATTCATATATTCTTCCTATCTGTACAACTATCATTTAAATTATTTAGTGGTACTAAAAAGAAGGTTATCCCTTGATTATGCTTAATTAGTCAAGGAAACAGCAAAATAGAGGTTATCTCTTGATTTTGATGCACAATTAGTCTAGTATTTTCTTGTCAATAAAGTAAGATAGTATTGAAATGATTTGAAGTTTAGAGAACCCCACTTTATTGTCCTTTTTCCCCAACTTTACCAATTCCACCTAAAACTAGGAGTGAACATATTCTCTCTGCAGTATTCCTACTTTCTTGCAGCTAAGTAAGCATGATGAAGCATTCAGGCTCCCTGTCAATGGGGAAGATTTGGGTCGAGGTTTGCCTGATTTCAGCTCAAGGATTACCTCGATCTTCACTTTGGAAGTATCAATGGTATGCAGTCGGTTGGATTGACCCCAACAACAAGTACTGCACCAAGATTGATGCTTCAGGGAATGCAAATCCTGTGTGGAAGACCAAGTTCACGTCTGTCATCGATCCTTCAGAGTCAAAGTTCCAGGATATGGCGCTGCACGTTGAGGTTTACAGCAGGGAGCCTGTCTTTCTCAGAGAGAAGCACCAGGGCAGTGCAACTGTTGTCTTAAAGGAGTTCTTAGCAAAACACTGTAAGAACTCTGAAGGCTCAAATCAGGGAAATGAAGATGTCGGAAGCTTCCAGTTGAGGAAGAAAAACTCCAACAAACCTCAAGGATTTATCGATGTCTCTATCAGGATCTCAGAAGAAAAAGAAGGAACAAGCTCACATGTCTTTCTAGGTAAGCTGATTTTTCTGTTTCTTTTGCTTTTTTGAACTATGAGTATGACCAATGTCATGTTGTGGATGATCCTATTTAGTAGGGGATTGGCTTGGTAAGCTTGAGCAAAAGCTCGAGTTTGTGCTCTATGTTAAGCACAAGCCTAAGGGTTGAAAACTCGAACTTGGGCTCTGTCTTAGAAAGTATGGTTTAATGCTTGACCTAGTTTGCTTTCTGTCCTTTTTTTGTGGCTGGAACATGGATTGAAAATGAGACATTTACAAAAGTAAAACTTGATATATTATTCAGGGGAGTGAAAAAAAAGAAAAGAGAATCGTCCATGACATAGAAAAAGGAAAAAGAGGAATATGTACTTGAAATTCAAACAATAGATGAAACTTGAAAGTCTGGACTAGAAAACACTTACTAAAAAGTCGATTCTTTTAGCTTTTTTTAGGTAAGTGTTTTCTAGTCCAGACTTGGCTTGAGAAGAGGCTAGGTAAGGCTAGGGATTAGGGTCAGGGTCAGGTCGTTGACTCAGCCGTGGTCTAGCTCACTCAGTCAGCTGTAGTTAGGTTCATGATAAATAGAAAAATGGGATGCTCTTCAAGCTGTTGACGAGGTGAAATTTTTTAACTCAGCAAGTTCCCTTGTATGTGAAATTGCCAATATAAGTGTTCTTTGTATTAATTTGTTGAAAACATCTTGTAGAAGTAGAACCATGTTATATACAGTTATTTAGCTACTCCTTACTTCTTAGTTGTATTCAATTTGACATGGCATGATATTTGTGTCTTCTATCATGGTAGGAAACGAGGATGGATTCAACTTAAGGGACAGCAGCAGTAACTATAATATGGCAAGTAATGGAGGAACATACCAAGCTCAGCCAGCAGGACACGCTGAACTGCCATTTCACCAGTTAGGAAATCCTCGTCCACCTGTAACTATTCGCAATCGTCCATATAATCATCCTATGCCACAACAAACAAACCATCCAAACCCTGCTGTTGCTGGACCAAGTTACCCACCTCCCAGCAGCTCCAATTACCCGACAAACTATTCAAATCCACACGTTGGCAGGCCAAATTATCCACCAACCCGAACCCCTGGGTATCCTCCTCCTCCGCCACATGCACCACCTCCACCGCCACCATCTTCTCACACTGGTTATGTACCCACTTTTCTTCCACGAACCAATGATCCATCCACATCATATATTAATATGCCATCATCAGGAGCAGGACGGGGTGTTGGTCCAGGGTTCGGAGTGGGTTTGGGCGCAGGAGCTCTAGCTGCTGGTGCTGTGATCTTTGGTGATGATATTATGTCAGGATATGATCTCCCAACTGCAGGAATACGAGATGCTACCTTTGCCTTTGCAACTGATCCTTTCTGATAAAGAGATTATACTATCTTTCTCAAAATTGTAATGTTATAAGCATCGTTTTGTCTGTTAATTTGAAATTGTGATTACAGATATGGTCAGGTTCTGAAGAGCTACGAATATTTACATGTTGAATACCAAATAAGCTGCACAGCCTTATCTGAACATGCATTTTTTTTAAAAAGTAATCTTAAACATGCATAGTTTACATTTTTTTTAAAAATGTTGCATAGATACTGTATATGATTCTCATTGCAACCGTCTTTTATTACAGTTTTAAGACATGGGTACCTTTCATAGTACTTCGTAGTTTGTTATCTATATCCTCTCCTCATCATTGAAATAGAGACGTATTGGAACTTCTAATCATCGGTAATAGGTAACAATTTTTTACCCATTTTAAGTAGCTAATCAGTGCCTAGTCTCCTTCCTAAGTCAAGCTTTACTTTGATAAAGGAGTAATGTCAAAAAATTCAAGGTGCATCAAGGCGATTTGGAGTTTTCTGCGCCTCTTTTAACTGAGGCACACCTAAAAAACAGCAAAATATTTTGTGAAAAAAAAAGTTGTGTGCCTTGGACCCTTGGTGCATCTTCAACGAAATCGCTTCACCCAGACCACAATAAGTGCATATTACTAAACACCACAAGGAGCCGTACAACAAAAGGACTACAGGAAAACACCATAGTGACTTTTAGTCATGTAAATGAATATGTATATGCACGACAGTTTACAAATAGACCAACTGCTTAAAAGCGGGATTTAGCAGCTCTCATAAAGAATGGTACAACATAATAAGTTGATGGTTGCTTACTTGCTTAACTATGTACATGGATAAATAATCCTCGTCATGCTTGCATGCATAATTCTCCTGAACCAGAAAAAACTCTGTTAAAAAATTTTGCAACAACAGATACAAACTCGTCTGGCTTTTCTTCATGAGGCAGATGACCACAACTCTTCATTATCTCAAGCTGTGATCCAGGTATTGCTCGTGAAAGCCTTTCAGAATTCCAAGAAGGAACAAGCCGGTCACTATCACCCGTAATAATCAGTACTGGAATCATCAAGAATTAGACAAATTTGTTAACTTTTCATACTGCTTCAGAAATCATAAACATACAGAACTGCGAGGGAAATTGATTAACTGCACGTATTGTATCAAAGTTTACGTCTCTTTGGCCTGATACTATGATATATCTATGGCTATCAAAATGCTATCAGACATACTAGACAGACCTTTGTAGAAAGCATACATTGACAGATCATACAGTTGATAGTGAAAAATCTTGAAATTTTACTTTTACTGTTCTACTCCCTCCATATCAGCTGTGTTAAAAAAATCCCTCTTGGGACGACCCAGAGTTAACACACTACTGTCGTTTAGCTTTGCTCTCTAAAGTTGGAACCCACACCTACCATGGCTACCAAGCCAATTTTTTTCTCATCTTTTTCTCCTTCTATATCTCTGTGCCCTAAAGCAATGTCATCTCTGTATTCTAGGACGAAGGAAGTCTTGTTTTTATGCATTGTTGACTCTCTCACACCAGAATATTGGAGTCACCAATTTCGCATGTTTAATAAACACATATTTAGGCTGCAAGCTATTGAACTAATAAACTAATTACTGGGGTAAACCTACTCCAATCCCCACAAATTCCTGACTGCCTCACTTGAATCGAAGCACTCATGATTTGTCATCTCATATGAACCACACAGATTCTACAAGAAGCCAAACTACTAATTTCTGTCATATTTTATTACAAGTTTCATCCCTCCTAATTGCAGCTCTGACAATGGAAACTTCTTGACACACCTATGCTGGGATAAGGTTTCTGTAAAAGTTTCTGCTTGTATACAGACAAATTGTGAGATATATATAACTTACTGATCTCCTGATTACCTGGACATGCAATATTTTGGAGTCTTTCCTCCAACGGTGGTTTTAGTTTAGCTTGAGAATCTGTCAACATAGCCACAGTAAATTCCACGAGAGCTCTATCCCAATCTTTTGTTCGTAGTGGCTGCATCAGAATAAGGGTATTAAATCACGCTAAAATCATATTTAGTCTTCATTGATGCACTTCAAACATTGAAGGATAAGAAATTAAATAAAGTGTATAACTCACCTTTGTATAACCATGTAGAATATGGTCAGTAACTTGAGTTGCATCATACCATGCATTTTTAACGGCAGCAATGCCAAACTTGTCAATAATCATCCTTACCTAAGAGACAGGAGATCATTCTCATTGCTCATATGTGATATGTCCCAAGTATGAATACCACCAACATACAGACAGCACTACATGAGCTGAGGAAGAATTTTACCAATGTTACAGCTACAGCTGAGCGCAAGATTGCAACTAAAGCTTTCGTGTACAGGGAGCTAACTACATTCAGTATCCCTTTCAACATTTGCATTACTGTGTTCGCAATGTATCTGTAAAAGTTTGACAGGACCAGTCCAAGCCTCGCAAACAGATTTGGACGTTCATCTGAAGTAGAGTTGCTTTCTTGGACTTTATTTCCTTTGTCTGACTGATTTTCTTTAGCAGACTTGGTGGCTGAACGCGGGGCCACTATTGCTGGTGCCACAAGAATCAATGCAGCAACTCGGTCAGGAGCCTCAAAGTATGCTTCCACCGCTGTTAGAGACCCAGCTGAATGCCTAAACATCAATATAAGTAATTTGTTAGCTTTAAGGAATCTTTAAACGGTACAGCTGCTAACAGTAAAATTAACAATAAGTTGTTATAGTTACTGCTCAGAGGTTGAATATCAGAGTATAAAGAACGTAGACGAGAAGCTTAATTCAACCAAAATTACATGAGACGTTTAATTTTGTTTAACAAGACATATTCCTGTTCTTACGGTATTAGAGTAAATTTATGTTAACAAATCCCAGGGCAGGTCATCTACCTCTTAAAGTCTTAGCTACCTTCATTTGAATAACAATTTTCTTGCTCTGCTCTAATAGGAGTATTTCAGTCACTTTCAGTTGCCCTGCTTAATTCTTGTGCATAAAACTTTAGCAACACTTAGGAAGACAAGAGTATTCACAATAGTAAAGTGAGAGAAGTATTGAGCACGATCATGATTCATAAAGCTAGTGAAAGAATTATGTGATACTATAACTCTATAAGCAATACTCACCCTACGAGTACTGCCTTCTCTGATTTAAGGAAATCGATGAAGTACAAAGTTGCCAGCACAGAAAATGCTGTAGAATATGGGTTGAGAGGCATTGTATCATCATCGGCATGAGAATGTACCGAATGTCTAACTCTTGATGTCAACCCAAATGCTGGTCTATCAAATGCCAAAACCTTTGAACCAGTTATTTGTGCAAAAGGCTTCATAACTCGATGCCAAGAAAAAGTAGAGGCACCAAAGCCATGTAGAAAAATCATTGGAAAACCAATCTTTTTAGTTGGAACATCAAGCTGAGAAGTTTCTTGCTCCTCTGACATGGATGGTTCTGCTTCACATACTTTATAATGTACATGCACCCCTTTAAACTCACAGAAACAGCTGTCTGGATCAGCCAATTGTCTCGGGTCTAGTAACTCATCCTGATCTATCCCAGCTATTCTGCTTTGTTTCTTCTTGACTCGTTTACCAATCAGTTCTTCTAGATATTAGGCAAACAAAAAAGGCATCAAAATTTGACATTTTAAGATCTCCAACAATATTCTACATGCATATCTCAGAATTTCTCAAACCTTAATCTAAAAAAAGCTAAATGCTAGCTACTAGTTGCCTCCCTTTTTCTGAATTTCTGGTATAGTGGAAGCATAAATAAAGACCAATAAATGCAGAGGGCTCAAACCTACGTCTCTCTACTAATACTCTACAAACCAAATGGGCTGAAATCCACAAGAGTCTCCAGCATTAAGAAGATGCAAACTACGCATATTCAAAGATTTGAAAGTGGGATGATGTCAGTTGATTAACAAAGTATATAATTAGTGTTCCCTATCCATAAATATGCTGACGATTTTGTATTCAACAGCGTTAATACATCTACTCAAAAGTCAGAAATAAGTCTCCAGACAGGTACGGGGTGGATCCAAGGGTCAGATCCTGATACTATTATCTCACCCTTCTACAATTTACACATGCTTTTGGTCTAAAATGCAAAATGTTAATATGTCAAGTATGGCAAAGTCTCAAGTGATATCAGGGTAAGACAATCTCGCCCAAACCTTGCTTCTCAAGTATAGTTGTCCAAAATATGCAATTACTTTGTTTGAACTAATACTTCAAGTTGCTACCTAAAATCTCATCTAGTAGCCTCTAGATCTCTACCAAAGATAATCCTACAGAAAATCTCTTTCTCATATGTGTGATTACTTCTTAAAGCACCTCAGATTTTCTACTTGATCTATAACATTTGCAGCAACATGAATATAAGTATATAACATTGGCAGTACACATTGCACATTGCATAGACCAAAGACAAAGTTATTGTGAGACATTAAAAGTCCGGAATTAATAGTCACATATACAATTTTTTAGATATCTGATTACAATCATCAGATCTTCTTGATATAATACTATGATTTTTGTTGTAAAACCATATCATATACTTGCACCCAAAAAATAAAGGTCAGAAAATCAATAAAATTTCAAGCAATTGTTAAATAATCCATAAGCAAAATTTCCAGCAACCCCATTTCAAAATTTGAATTCCTCAGCATATTACCTATTCTAGAATTATAAGCAACAACAATCTTACAAAAACAGAAAAATAGCAGGAAATTATACCAGGATAATCAGAAGCAGAGCCACCAAGTGAAGGAGAAGATGAGGAAGCAGCTTTAATAGTAAAAATTGGGTGAATTTTACAAATGGGTTTTCTGTTTTCAAATTTGCAAAAATTTCTCAACTGATTTTGGGGTAGAAATCCTTTAACCCCACAAAATGATTTAACTGGAGCTGCCAAAAACAGTTGTTGAGAGCTAAAGTAGAGTGCTGACGCTTTCATATTTTAAGCGTCGATAAACTGACAAGGAACACAGCGCCTAAACTTTGGAAAGCAATCGAGGAATGGCTCAGGGCCTCAGTCTCTTTGTATGTTCCAATTTCCACCCCATATTGTTGGACACACAAAAATCAACCAAGGGATGGACATTTTTTTTAGTTGAAAACTACAACTACCCACTTGTTTCTACTCAATGACTAGTTTTAGACTTTTAGGTTCCCTAAAAAAAAAAAAAAAAAAAAAAACTAGTCTTAGGTTCGAACGATATTCCGCATTATTACTTGTTCAATTGGAGCCTTATTCTTAATTATAGAATTTACAATGGCTCAATAATAATGTAGCTACCATAATATTTTGATACAAACTATTACCCTTATTCCTCTTATTTTCAAATATGCCATATTGAGAATCACTCCATGTTTCTCAAGTTGAGAAATTGGGGCACCCTCGGGAAAAAGAACACCCATAATAATTGAGAGAAATAATAGCATGTATAAAATTGATGGAACCTTCCTTTTTAGTAAAGAAATAGAAGTGTAATATTTTTTTTGGTGCACCCAGTTCACCCTTTGGGCTAATTTGGATTCGGGAATCAATTTTGGGTTGTTAGATTTCAGTCCCCTCCCAATTGTTATTACGGTGGTTAGGTACAAAATGAATATAAGTGTGATATCTAAATACTAATAAAGATGAAAGCAAGTAAGGAGTACAAATAATGATAAAGGTGAAAACTAAAACACTTTTTTTTAATGAAGTCTTAAAGGACATTAATTTTCATTGATTAAACTATTAAAGTCATACGATATCTACAATTGACAATTAACGACAATGAAAATAGATTCAACAAAATCAAACAAGGATTAACTAGTGAAGAACAAAGAATCCAAATACATAGATATAACAATTTTAGTTTTCACATAATACCACATAAATCTTATATCTATATCTATATATATATATATATATATATATATATATATATATATATAAAGTAGGCATTTTTTTAGAGCATTCGGAGCGCCACGTAAGAAATATATTTATTTCGACCAATAAGAAGAAAGATTTGTATTTTATTTTTGAATTAAAAAATTATGTCGCCACCTAGATAAAAGTAACGAATTTGATTTGATATATCTAAAATTTTAATGCCAAGTAGATTGTAATCCACGAATTAAATTATTTTAATGAAACAAAATAAAATAAAAATATAGGAAAAGATAAATTTATTAATTCAATACTACGAGTATAAGAAATCCAAAAAAAAATATACTAAAAATATTTAAATGATAAACGCTTATAATAAAGTTTGATACCTATCATCATAAGATAAATTTTGATAGTATTTATGATAAAAAAAAATACAAATTATTTGTAATTATTAGTTACATTGTATTTATTTAGGATATTTAATGATTATTTGTTTATGTAATGGCATACGATTAGATGTTGTATACTTAATATATGGATGGATTTGGTTATTTTTGGAGATGATGAAAAAATTCCAATGCATAGATTTGATTTTATATCGCAACAACTTTTCATTTATTGGTAAATATATTGATTTATTTTATATAAATATAAAGATTTAATTTATATCAATTTCAGTTTGGCTAGCATTTCACGGTTCAATTTATCCATTGATGTAAAAGTTGGTTGTGGACGAGGTTAATGATTCAATCAAAATAAAAGATATGGTAAAACAATGAATAATGCTTTAGGATTTAAATTATTAAAAAAATTTCATTTCATATTAAAGATTTTAAATAACGGAAAAAAATATCATATTTACAATTTATTTATATTTAATAAATTCATTATAAATTATAGTAAAAAAAATAAATATTAAACTTTTGTAATTTTGTCTGAAATTATTAAATACAATAAATCAAATAATTAAAAATCTAAGATGAAAAACCGTGCATCGCACGGGCTTACATCTGTTATGTTTTATTTTTCTCCCTAATATATAATGGGTGTTTATTTCTACAATTAGGTCAATTACGGAATAATACAAACTATGGAGTACGTATTACTCTATCATTTACCTAACTTGGAGATAAGATGAAATCTCGTCTACACCATTACGCCACGCCGGTGACTTGGCGAGAAATACCTGCTGGGAAATCACTAAAAAAAAAGGAAAATTTGCAAATTACCACCCACAAAATATGCGTATTTCGACATAACCACCCAAAAAAAAAAATTTAAAATACCACCCACTAAAAAAAAAATACTCAGATTACCACCCAATTTGATTTTCCGGTGAAAAATTAGATTGTGGACCCCACCCAATTTATTTCCCTCCATTTTTTTTCTTTTTTGCTCGAGTTCACTTTATGTTCATGCAATTGCAATCATCTTGACCCTTTCCTCATGATTTTCTTCTAAAATTCTCAGCGAAATCCTCCAAAAATTTCTGAATCATTGTCTTTTCTCCTTTTATTTTGATTACATTATCAACAAGTCTACGAAAACGAACCCTAATTTTTCCAATAAAAACTGAGTTTGTGCTTGTTCTGTAACCTGGGTTATTGCGAGTGGTGCATTGCGCAAATTGGACAATTTGGGTGTGTTTGGTGAAGATCACTTGCTTAATTCAGTAACAATGGAGTCGCCAGAGGTAAGCTATTAAGTTGAAATACTTTAATTTGGACAGTTGTAGGTTGTTGATGGTATTATTGCAATTATGTAGAAAGTTAGGGTTCATTGTTTGCCTGATTGAATTATTTAATGTAGGTCAATTATTCTGTAGTTATTGTTGAATTGTGTAAGTATGTGGGTAGGACAATGAATTAGGGGATTTATTTATTGCTGCTATGTACCACAACCCATTGCTTTGCTTTTGTTACTGCTACTTTGTCTTGTGGTGGTTTGTTTATTGTTGCATTGTATATTGTTGCATTGTTGATTGTTGCTGTGTTTAATGTTGGTTAATTATATGCACAGCTTGCTGGTGATGTTGAATTAGTAGATGTTAAGGTTAGATTAGGGGGTGTGTTTGTTAACAAACAACTAAGGGGTAAGAGTTTGTGTGGTTATGAGGGTGGGTGGGATTTTTAGAGGTATAAGTGCAGAGTGAGTGAGTTGTCAGTGGAGTTCCTTATGGAATCTTGCATTTGGGGGTTTGTGAAGTTAGATTTGTTTGTCCCAAGCAAGTGGAGGATGTGGTATAAAGAAAAGGGGAAGACTTGGTCAAATGGCAAAAAAGAAATTCTGAGTGATGATGATGTGAAGGGCTTTTTGGAGACAAAGAATAAGAGTGGCTTTGTTATAGTGTATTGTACTGAGCAAGTACCCAAGGTAGTTCAGCCCACCCAAAACAGTAAAAGCAAATCTGAAATAAGGAAAAGCCCAAGGTTTCTGCAGCCCTTGGCCAAGGAGATTGATGAGACAGAAAAGAAGGAGGTGGGGGGGCATAAGGTTGGTGAGGGCACTCACAATAGAACAAGAAAGGCATTGTTCTCAGAGAGTGTGAAGGGAAAGAAAAAGCAAGGTGAGGAGGAAGGCACATCTAGGAGAACTAGGGTTAAGGGATTGGGACAGGATAAGGGCAAGGGGAAAACACAGGGGAAAAGGAAGAGGAAGACAAAGAGGGTGGTGGAATCAGATTCTGGATCTAGTTCTTCAAGTTCTGAGGACCTAGACACTGATATAGAGTGGGAAGCAGGGGAAGAGGAGGGGGGATTTGAGGATGCTGACTGTTTTGAAGGTATTGACAACACTGTCAGTCAAATACTTGAAGATGTGAATGCTGATCTACAGTGTGGGGAAGATAGGATTGAATATGAGGTGGAGAACAGAGATGAGCAGCTTGAAACTGAGTTGTTGAGCAAAGATATATCTTTACAAGGAGACTTTACTTCTGATTCAGAGGAGTTGGAAAGCCCTAGAGATTCAGATGATGAGCAAGAACAGTGTCCATGGTTCCATGCCTCTGTAGACTTTAAGAAGCCTATTCAATTGGTGAAAGGACTGAAGTTCTAGAACAACAAAGTCTTGAGGAAAGCTCTAAAACTTCATGCCATTGAGAATAGGTATGAATTTTGGTTTTTGCACAATGATAACAGAAAGATAACTATTCAGTGTAGAAGGAGGTGTCAATGCAAGTGGAATAAAAAGAAGTGTAGGCTGCCTTTGTGTAGTTGTGTTGGGGGAAGGAGATGTCATTTTAGGGTTGTTGCAAGGAGGGGTGTGAACCAAGAGTATTGGAAAATAAAGAGTGTGAATTTAAAACATAAATGTTTAAGGGTTAGAAGCAATTTGAACCTTACTGCTAAATTTTTGGCTGAGAAATACATTGAGGATTGGAGAAGTGATCCTGGGTGGAAGCTTAAAAGCTTCAGAAGAAGGGTGCTGGGTGAATTTGGCATAGATATTACATACAACAAAGCTTGGATGGCAAGGGCAAGGGCAAAGCTCATGATATATGGATCAGCAGTAGAACAGTATGCAAGAGTATGGGACTATGGGAAGGCTCTCATGAAATACAGCCCTGGTGGCACTGAATGTAATATTGTGGTTGATGGATTACAGCAGATTGAGCCCCCAATATTCATGAGAATGTTCATATGCCTTGCACCTTTGAGGAGAGGTTTTCTGTCTGGTTGTAGACCACTTATTGGGGTTGATGGATGCCACCTCAAAGGTCCATACCCTGGTCAAATATTAGTTGCAGTAGGTAAAGATGGCAACAACAATATTTACCCTATAGCCTGGGCTACAGTTGAAATAGAGAACACAGAAACTTGGGTTTGGTTCCTTGAGAGCCTGATGAAAGCCCTAAGGGATGAAGAGCAAGGCCTTGGATATACATTTATATCTGACAGGCAAAAGGTAAAAATACATGCAACACTTTTTTTCAAAATTTAGAATGAAATTGTGAGTTTTTGTCACTGATGTACTGTATGTGATGTGTGCACAGGGGTTGTTAGAAGCTTTGCACCAAGTTGTCCCAAATGCAGACACAAGGTATTGTGTGAGAATATATGGGCTAACTTCAAACTGCAGTTCTCTGGATCCACCTTTAAGGAGCTGTTCTGGTCAGCAGCAAGGGCTACAACATTGGTAAGCTTGCTATTTGTACTGTTAGACTTTATTTATTTTGTTTTTTTTGGTAATTGGAACCACACAACACCAACTAGGGACACCTACAGCCTACAGCAAGCACAATATCTTTGAACACCACAGTACTGTTAAGCTATTATGTTGTCTGTTAGAGCTATGATGCATGTGTGAGTTTGTGTGTACAAGTTTGTATAAGTTCTGATTGTAGAAGTTTTTATGTTTTACTTTTGCTGTTGTAGTTTGACTTTGAGGTAGCAATGGAGTCAATAAGGTTCCTGTCTGAGGATGCTTATGGATATCTTGCTGACATTCCTGCAAAACACTGGTCTAGGCATGCATTCAATACATTCCCTAAGTCAAACATGTTGCTAAACAATATTTGTGAGACTTTTAATGCTGTTATCAAAAAAGCAAGGGACAAGCCTATATTGACACAGATGGAATGGCTTAGGAGATACATGATGAAAAGAAACAATGAAAAATGGGAAAGTTATCTGAAAATGGAAGGAAAGGTTGTCCCTTATGTTAAGAAAACCTTCCAAAGGATAGAACCAGCTGCAAGGCACTGCATTGTGCAAGTGTCTAGGGGTGATAGCTATGAGGTGGAGTTTAACTCTGACATAGTCACAGTTGACCTGAGCAAGGCCACATGCACCTGCTTCCATTGGGACCTTACTGGTATCCCATGTGTCCATGCTTATGCATGCATCATGGACAAAAGGGCAGACCCTGAAGATTATGTGGACAGTGCCTACCTTGTGTCCACATACATGTTGGCTTATAGGCTTGAGATACCAGCTATGCCTGGTCCAAAACATTGGGAGAAGGTCAAGTTGAGGCAACCACTACCACCAGTCATAAAAAACCCAACCTGGAAGGCCTAAGTCTAAGAAGAGAAAATTGGAGCAGGGGGAATTGGGTGGGCAAAACCAGGCTATGCAGCAATCATTGAAAAGGAGGAGCACCTGTAAGAACTGTGGGCAGCTTGGACACTATGCCAAGACCTGCAAAAACCCATCTTTCAGAGTAGCTATCTCTTCTCCCAAGAAAGAAGGTGGAAGACCTCCTGTGAACAGTGCTTGGGTGACTGACCAGAGAAGGAAGAAGGCTGAGAGATCTTTGAAGAAGGTAACCTTCATTTTCCTGTTATTGAATGTTGCTCTGTGGTTTTATGAGTATTGACATGAAAAAAAAACTAACTTAAATCTACATTGTTTTCTTTACAGAGTGCACTTGGTGGTACCCCTGGACCAAACAGTATTGGTTCCAAGAAGTTCCCTCAGGAACAGCAGCAGAGGATGCAGTAGCAGACTCAATACATTCAAGGTTCAAGCAACACAGCTGCCACAGCCTCTGGACCAGTTCCTTCATCTTCCACAACAGCTGCAACAACTGGAAGACCACCAAGAGCCAAGCTGCATGTTATTAGACCTAGTTCCTAGACAGAAAGTTCCTCCTATTTTGTTTGTCTTAGATGATAAGTGAACAATATTTTGATGTAAACATATGAAATTTGAATGGCCTTGTGACAATGTTTATGGCTGTAATTTGGATGGCATTGTTACATGTTTAGATATGAATTTGACAAAACCAAGTGTTCAATGCAAAACAAGTCTTTTTATTAAAAAACCAACTATTTTATTTCAATCCACAGAAGCATTATAGTAGCATTACAATAGACCTTCATCTCCCACTTAAACCATTTTTAGAATTACAATACAACCCAATACTAAAAATACAGAACACATAACAACAACAACAAACATGAGCTTGTTGTCAGAATTCCCATTGCTGCTCATCATATTCTTTCTGTCACCACTGAGGACCTTGCATTTCATTTTCAAATTGTCAACCTCATTAAGCAAACACCTTCTTTGGCCTGTCAGATCATCAACCTCCCTCTTCAATGAGTTTATTTCACCCTTCATCAATTTTTTGTCAAGGAGAAGTTGGTTGATCACATCTCTCTGCCACTCAGATCCATCATCAATGTCTACCCATTCAAAACACTTGCATCCCCTACTTTTAGTGACTGGGTCATAGAACTTGCATGCCTTGAATTTCCTCCCTGGATTGTCCCTTGTCCAAGATGTCAGTTTAGAAAGAGGCAATCCACAATTGCACTTCTTCTGGTTTGTGGGAGATGAGTTATTCCAGGACATCTTCCTACCTGCAAGTACAACAACAAAAGTCTATTTCAGCAACCTATTCCATTACACAACATAATTTACACATCTATTTCAACCACACCTAGTCATTGTTGTGGTTGCCCTCCATAATGAGGATAACCAGGGGGTGGCCATGTCCCATTCTGTTTCATCCTGTACTCCAAGATACAATCAGCCAAGAAGCCAGGGTCATCTGTGCTCCCAACAAATATGGTATACATGTCCATATTAGGTAACCTCCTAACCATCTTGAACACATCACCATCATCCTCTAAATTCCTATACTTCCCTCTATAAAAATATGAAATGTGGGGTGCATAATGTCAATTGATCCTTCTACAGGATCTTCCATTTCACGAATTCTATCTTCAACTTCTATAGCTGTATCCAACAAGTTGCTTTTGCCTACTTCATATTCAATGTCAACAACAACACTCAGATACTTAAATCTGAAAACCACCTTATTCTCCTCCATTTCTGCCACAACAATTCCAACAACAACTAATCATATAACAAGCTCAAAACAAAAACAGCAATTATCCAAACAATCAAAACAATAAGTCAACAAATTAATACCAAACTCAATTACAGCAAAGCTAATTAACAAACAATCATAGAAACCCCAATTGAATAATACCACGAACCCTAATTGTTGAAATAACACAACTAATTCGCACTTGGAACAACAACCATAACTAACTTATCCCCCAATTTTCCCCAATCAAGTGCAAAAAGAACCCTAATTCACTACTCCCCCAATTTTTCCCCATTTTCATTTTCAGATAAACCCTAAATTTTTATAAGCCAAGGATATTACCTGAATCGCAAATCACCTTCAGGAAGCTTCTGCACTTAAGGGGAAGCGTTTCTTGCGAAATTTGGGGAAAAATTGCAGACGAAAATGATTTTACGCTATGGAGAGGAGTGTAATGGGGAAAAATCGGGGAAGCAATGAGTTCTAAACAAAAAAATAGCCGTTACTAGCCGTTATGTAGGGTCCACAATATAATTTTTCACCGGAAAATCAAATTGGGTGGTAATCTGAGTATTTTTTTTTTAGTGGGTGGTATTTTAAAATATTTTTTTTTTTGGGTGGTTATGTCGAAATACGCATATTTTGTGGGTGGTAATTTGCAAATTTTCCAAAAAAAAAAAGTCCGAATTAAAGCGCCAACTCCTCCAGTCCCACTGTCCCAGTACAACTTCCAGGTAGCCATTGAAGAGGGTAGTTGATTATCAATTTATCATCATAACCAATATTATCTCACTAAATCTCTTTTTCTCTCTCCTAAATTCCAAAAATGGAGGCCATTGTTGTCCGAAAACTCGGTGATCCATCAACCGCCAATCTCTCCGACGAAAATTCCCCGATTTTCTTGTCGAATAACGAACCATTGCCGGAGCTCAAATCTCCGACGGAAATTAGGGTTAGGGTTAGGGCTACGAGCTTGAATTACGCCAATTACCTTCAGGTTCTTGGGAAATACCAGGAGAAAGCTCCCCTTCCTTTCATTCCTGGCTCTGATTACTCTGGGGTTGTTGATGCTGTTGGTCCTCGAGTTTCTAAATTCAGGGTTGGTGATCGAGTTTGCTCGGTTGCTAATCTGGGTTCGTTTGCCCAGTTTGTTGTCGACGAGGAGTCCAAATTGTATGTCGATTACTCCCTCCGTCTTTAATTGTCATTTTGATCTGATTTATACTTAAAGAAAAAATATATATAGTCATCTGGGATATTGTTAGAATCTGTTAATGTTTAATTTCCAAAATATCAATGTTTAATATTGGAAATCAAAATGGTTAAGTTCAGAAAATGAATAGGTGTACAGTACTAATGTGAATGAATTGGGGTCGTTTGGTAGTTTTTTGTTTGGTCGGGGTTTTTAGTAATGGAATCTCATACCAAAGGGGTTCTAACTTTCCCTCATACCCATGGAATCTCATACCCACCCCTCCCCCTAGGATTCACAATCCATTCTATTAATGAAGAATAGAATCCATTCCAACGATAAAACCAGACAACGTTGGACTAGTATGGGTTTTAGAATCCATACCTCTCTAGTATGAGGTTCCATTCTAACTCGATGAACCAAACACCCCTAAGTGCTTTGAAATAGCCTGACTTTATCTCATTTCCTTTCAAATTGTTGATTTGAAGTGTTAGAGTGGAATTGGGTGCTTTGTCATTGATAGAGTGCTTGCTGATTTTGATGTTCAAGTTGTAGGAATGCTGGAATGGAGAGTTTTGTAATAATTTAGCTCATGAATTAAGACTATAGCTAAGAGGTCTGTAGGATATCACTACACGTTATACGTGAGCACAATGAGTTTTACCTCTCTTTTTCTTTGATGATATAAGTATTGGTAAAGGAGCATAGATTGGATTGGAGAGGTATGATATTTGATGTTTCGGTTTGATGCTTATATAATGGTTCTTTTCTTGGGTTGTAATTCAGCATACTTAAGGGATTTGAATGAAGAGAGGTGAAATGGGAGGGGCTAGAAGGAATTATAGGTCAAAGTGAAACCTTTATCTTGTTTCGGGGGTTTACCTGGAAGAGGAATTGCTCTGAAAATCAGTGGACATTTTTTTGGGCGCAAACCTTGACTTCATATGTAGTGTTGAATTTAGAGTAATGTTTATCAACTAATGATGCAAAGTAGTATAACAAAAGTGTGTAACATATATATATCCGACTGGAGGGGCTTTTATGTGTATTACACTTTACGCATTTGTTTTTTTGCATCTTGATAGATTTTTCACTCCTATCTTTTGGATAACTATCATGTTGGAATCCTAATGCATAGTTTCTTATAGCGCTTGTTTTCCTCCATATGCATAATTGGTTCGTAAGGTTTAAAGTACCAGAGGGGTGTGATCTGGTTGCTGCAGCTGCACTTCCTGTGGCATTTGGGACTTCACATGTTGGTCTTGTTCATCGAGCCCAACTTAAAAGTGGTCAGGTATTGCCTTTTTTTTTTTTTTTTTTTTTTTTTTTTTTTTTTTTTTTTTTTTTTTTTTTTGCTTCTACTTCACCTCATCTCCTTCAGTCGTCTGGATGGGACATGTTTTAATGTGCTTATTATTGGCGATGGGAATATTGTAGGTTTTACTGGTGCTTGGTGCAGCAGGAGGAGTTGGTGTTTCAGCAGTTCAGATAGGAAAGGTCTGTGGTGCCATTGTCATAGCAGCTGCGAGGTAGTTGTTTAAGTGAGTATTTAAGGCAGTTTGGAAGGTCTTGAATGTGATGAATTTTATAATTTGCTTTTTATATTGAACTTTAGGGGGCCTGAGAAGGTGCAATTTTTGACGTCATTAGGCGCTGACCATGTTGTTGACATAAGCCAAGATAATGTTATTACAAGTGTAAAGGAGTTTTTGAAGGCTAGGAAGCTCAAAGGGGTTGATGTCTTATATGATCCAGTTGGTGGAAAGCTAACGAAGGATGCCATGAAAGTGTTAAACTGGGGGGCTAACATTTTGGTCATTGGATTTGCCAGTGGAGAAGTTCCTGTCATTCCTGCAAACATAGCTCTGGTAAAGGTACTGTTCTCAATTACACTTGAATTAGGGTATTCGGGTGAAAGTCCTATGCTCTTTTGAGATTAGAATTCTTACTTACTGCATATATTCTAATGTGTTCTTGGCTCCATTCATCATATGTCAATGCGCTACCTGTTTTTATGACTCTTAAACAGTTGAACTCAGTCTTTTTGGGCATGACATGTTGTTATTTCTTCTGATACTTTTACTGATCTTTCATGTCTGCTTTCTATCAGAATTGGACTATACATGGACTTTACTGGGGAAGCTACAGAATCCATTGTCCAAGTGTCCTTGAATATTCACTCCAGGAGCTGCTCTCATGGCTAGCCAGGGGCACGATTTCCATCTATATTTCTCATACGTACAGTCCTGCAGAGGTCAGTGGATTAGTACATACTAGTTTAGCTCCCGTGCGATGCATGATATAATAAAAAGAATTTATAATCGTGTACATTTTCAAGTCATATTATCACTCAAAATATGTAAAATCTTTGTATTAACATAAACAAAACTACAAAAATTAAAACAATATAATAAAAAAAAAAAATCATGTCTACAAGAAAATTTAGTGGATTTTGTAATTAGATGGAGTATAGGGTTAATATTTGCTTTCCTTAAGATTAGCTATATGTAACTTCAGATAATGTACCGTATAAAACTACTTTGTAGTCAATATTAGCTTTTCTAAAAAAAAAGAATTAAAGAAAATTATAAAAATAAAGAAAATTGGAAGAGAAAAAAAAAGTTTAGGCGGGAAAAATTTGAAGGAGAAGCTGACACGTGTACAATTTGGAAAAATGAATGATGTCAGCGGTTGTTATTTTAGTATTAATTATAGATGTTCTAGATGCTAGCTATACCAATATAATATATCTACAACTCTACTTCTTGGAGGAATTTATAATATTATATATAATATATACCCATATAATATAATATATCCCAATCATAGTTATAGACATGAAATCTATGCTTGTCTTAGTTTTAAAGGGCGCAAGGCGCAAACAGTCCTTGGAGCCTAGGCGCAAGGTGAAGGCGCGCGTCTTTTCTAGGTGACGCGCACTTTATTCATATAGAAAAGAAATAATAATTTCTATTAAATAAGTGTAAAAATGAAATTATGAGAAAAGGTGAAAGGGTCATGTGATCAATAAGAATAATTCTTCAAATCGAATTATAGGATATGGCATTTCTCTCTCCACTAGAATTGAAGGAAACCTGTCCATAACAAAGTCTCATGTTATATTTTAGGAAAAATAAACTTACACAATAGCTATCGATGCTTTACAAGGCGCAAGAAGCAGCCTAGAAAAAAGCGCAAAGGCGCGAGCCTTTTGTAGGTCTTTGAGCCTCAAAGAGCTAAGGCGCCAACTCTCGAGCCTCACTATGCCTTGCGCCTAGGCGCGCTTTTTAAAACTAAGATGCTTGTAGCCCAGTAAAAAATTATTAGGTTTTCATAACTATTTCATTCAAATGATTTTTTGTGAATCTGTAGAATTTTTCTCTGCTGTGACCTAAACTGGTTAGTGGTTAGATTGGTTACTGTTCATAATAGGACCTCTTTCCTAACTATGCAAATCATAGCTAGGTGGTGGTCCTTGTAAGAAATCAACAAATTCTATCTAGAAATCAGTTTAATGTAGTGTCATGGGATGCTCATCTTTCTGTGACAAAGTTAGTTGTGATTAAGAATATTTCTTTGGGCTTATGGCTCAAGCACCTGACACGTGATTTTGGAATTTTCCCCCCTCTGATGTCATACACTCCTACTTGACTATGTGTACTTTATTTCATAAGAGGCGAAAGGCCTGTATGATAATGTATATTGATGGAGAAATAGTGGGTGATACAAATGATACTGGTTGGTGCTCTTAGTTTTGGTTTTGGTTGGGGGGGGGGGATACAAATGATAGTGGTTGGTGCTAGGCATGGTCTATAAATTCTTATGTTTATTTACATAGTAGTTAGTCATGAGGGTGATGCCCATCATAATACTCAAAAATACCACAACCTCAGCATCGGGAAAGCACAGAAAAGACCCAAAATACCACAAATTATACAATGGCAAAGACCCAAGTCAAGAACTCACACACTCAGGTTGGAGTGTAAGGAGACAATTGCAAAACATAGTACAGGGCTAGCAACTCATCCAACAAAAGATCCATAATTACAATGGAGAAAATAAAGTCTTTTTTATAGAATCACAAAATTGATACTAGGCTAGCTAATTGGCAGATGCAGGAGGATGGCGCAACTGCTGGAAGTTGGCTGTTGAGGGTTAGGGAGAACTTCTCTATATTACTTTATGCATTCAATTCAGTCATAGCAGAGGTTAAGGATATGCAATTTTTTTCCTCCATTCCTTGTAATTTGTCTACTTAAATAACTTTTCTTATATTGTAAGGTCTGTCTCTGAATATACCACAATATTACTTACTACAGAGTATGTTCTAATACCAATTGAATGTTCAACAATTGCTTTATTTTTTTGAAAGCCAAAAACAAGGAATGGAGGGAGTCTCAACTTTAGACATTTAGTTAATCCCTTTCCCTACCAAGGGTTCTCGTGTTTGCATCATGCTTTCCCGTGCTTTACACTATTACTGTTTTACCGGCTAAACTTAGGACTTCTAATGAAAATTCTCTAGCAAGTATCTTACAGGATGCTGGTCAAATTTTTATTGGCTTTTGGTGTAGATTTGTCTTTTGTTTTGCACTTTGAAACATCTTATATTCTAATTTTGTCCAACAGGCTAACCTTGCATTTGCTGCCATCAAAGATAGAAAATCAATTGGTAAGGTTCTTATTACCTTCGATGATCAGAAGGCTGCAAGAGCTAAGCTTTAGGCTCAATGCGTTTCACAGACGGACTATCAAGCATAGCAGCAAAATTTGTTTATAGCTGTAGACCAGAGTTGTTTTCTCAATAAAATCCTGTAAAAAAATTGTACTGTAATACATAATTACATATGCTTATTATGACTTAGATGTCTGTACTATTGCTGAGAAGCCTGAGATAGCTGCAGTTTGTCATGTTAGGCATATTGCATATGACTCGGTACATTTTATGCAACCGTATTACAGATGATTAGATAGCTGTAAGCCTGTAAGTGATGTTCTTTATGCTTCTGACTAAGGTTTAACTTATGAAACTATTATCAAATAAATTTACAGCTATTACTCCCTCTGCTTTCAACTAATTGCAGTAGTAAAGGATGCATAAACTATATCAATCAGTAATAATATAACTGTTTTCATTAGGTAACTTAATAATACCAACTAGTATGTAGATCAATGGTATACAAAAAAAGTAACACTTTCTCTCATCTCTCTTCTTGTTGTTCACTTTTCTTAATTTTGTGACAATAGTTGTTATAAAACGAGACAACCTCCTCTTCCAAGTAAGTAGTTCCAATCCAATAAATATTGATATCAATGTCTTCATGTATTCATATCACATGACATTATTCTTCCCTTGTTTTTGTTCTTTTCTCTTGTTTGCCCATTTTCAAAATAAATAAAGTAAATCAAATTCAAAATTATGGTGTAATTGTGTATCCCTTTATTTTGGATATGACTTTTTTCTTTTTACTTATTAGGAGTTAATATTTCTACCGCTTCAAATTAATTGCAACGCAGTTTTTTTTCATCTTTCATCTCAATATTGTTGTCACAAATATGGTGGACACAATTTTCTTAGGCGCATAGGAAGAAGTGTACTTTTCACTTTTATTCGTGACTTTTTTCTTCAATGAAGTTATGTAAGTAATTAGTATGTAGATTGCACTTACCAAATAAGGGAATGTGGCAAAAAATTGATATGGACTGAATTGAAATTCCCGGCAATTAATTGGAGATGAGTACTCTCCAACTTATAACCTAGATAAATGAAAGAAATAGTAAATCAAGTGACATAAGTTAAAATAATCGGTTAAAACACCAAATAATGATTGTTGATTGGTAAAATCATTGTTGTTGATTGTGTAATCATAGTTTTTGACAGAGTATATATTTTGTGTAGGTGATGATGTTGTTACAAAGATGTCAACCTAATTGGACATGTATGGAAAGGAGAGCACCTTCTAACCATAATGTTGGAGCATTGGAGGTTCAATCCCCACTAGTGACAATTTGGGGGTGGGATTCCCTTACCTTCCCCTACTCTCCCAAATTGTCTGGCCTGTTAACCCGAGCCAAGTTGACTCGTGAGGGGTATCAGCCCGATAAGGACCTTCATCTTACCTAAAAAAAAAATTGTACATGTATGGGACCCACATTAAATGAGCATTTAAATTGGTGTATAAAGAACTGCAAAGACAATGATTCATAAGAAATTCAATCATAGATCTGACATTAACTAAGCTAGTTGACAATTTTTAATAAGAAGCAATCATTGTCCCATTAAAAAAAGGAAAATGATAAACATAGCCCTTAGAGCTATGTATAAGAAGCTAAAAAAGAAATATTTAGGCTAAAGTAACATTAATTACACCGATTTGCGCGTGATTTTGTCATGAATTTCCAACTTAATTTCATTTTAGGAAGTATATAAAAAAAAAGCAATTATTGATATTACTGGGAAAATGTCATAGTGATTACAAAACTTCTTGCGTACAACCGGCTTACACTAACCTTAATGTAAGGCCTGATTCACACAAGCCAATTAGAGTATAAATAGCGCTCAAAGAGAAATCATAGCCGCATGCAAAACATCGTCTTCTTCTTCTCTCAAATTCTCTGCAAAACATCATTGGATTCCCTAATTCACAAATTATTACAATCTCAAAAACAAATTCAAGCTCCAATTTCAAACGATCTGCAAATTTCAGAAGAAATTGAAGTTGATTCTGTAATTGATGTTGATTTAAACAACGATTCTATGCAACAAACCCTAAATTGCAGGCAATGTGGTAATAATATTGACCTAAATTGCGAAATCAATGACAATGCAATACATCAAAACCTCAATTCAGGTACGTAATTTTGTATATGAATTTGTACAAATTTACCAAAAATAGGTAAACTGGTGATTGAATGAATTACGATCAATGCAGATTCATATGAGAGTAGAGTTTATCTCGATGAAGAACAAATCTCAGCTGATGAAGTGCAAATCTCGGTGGATGAAGAGCAAATCTCAGAGGATGAAGATTCAACTTCTGAAGGTAACATTAAGCTTTTGAACAGTTGTGGAATTGTTCAAATTGAAGTTTCTGTTTAATATTGAAAAGTACAAGTAAAATTGAAATTGCATACTTAGCTTGTTTAATTTATAGTGTAACTTTAAGAAATAGAAGTGTAACTTCAAGAAATATAAGTGTAACTTTAAGAAATATAAGTGTTGTTTTGTTTATGGCTTAAAAGTTATAGTTATTATTGTTAAAGTTACATAATATGGCTTAGAAGTTATATTATATAATTTAATAAAATAGTGAAATTAGTGATAACACTGCCAAAGTTACCTGATATAGCTTAAAAGTTACTGTATTAGTGAATTATAGTTACACTTTTTTCATAAAACTTAAATCTACTATACTGTTTAAATTGCAGTCATTGAAACCAATATTGATGTTGGGAGAACACTATTAGGCATCAGAACAAAAACCTTAGAAGAAATGCATGAGATTTACAAAAAACATGCATCAATTGTAGGATTTTCAGTAAGGAAACATACAGGTATGACTAGGGATAAAACTGAAAAAGTTATTGTGGAGAAATACTATGTTTGTTGTGCACAAGGTAAAACAAACACTGGGGAAAGAGAACAAAAAAATAGAAGCAATTGTGGAGAATGTAGAAAAGAAAAGGAAAAGAAAACCAAGGCAAGTTCCTATCACAAGAACAGATTGTAGAGCTTGTATAAGAGTCAAGATGAATTAGGATGGATTGTTTGAAGTAGTACAGCATGTTTTGGTACATAATCATGAACTCACAAGATAACAATGGCACTATCTTCATCGATCTGAAAGAGAGATGACAGAAGAAAAGGGATAAGTAATAGAAAACTTGCAAAAGTTAGGACTTTCAACTATGGACTCATATCGAGCTATGTGCAATGAAGCTGGAGGTGAAGAAAACTTGAGACACACAAAGAAAGACCATCTGAATTATTGGACAAGGTTGAAAATGAAAAATATTGAAGGTGGTGATGCACAAGCAATCTCTAAAATAATGTACCAGGAACTTGCTAATGATCCTGAATTTTTCTTTAGATTTAGATTGAATAAAGAAGGCAAGTTGAGAGCACTATTTTGGAGAGACTCGATGATGAGAGAAGATTATAGTATTTATGGAGATGTTGTAGTGTTTGATACTACATATAGGACAAATAGATACAATTTGATATGTGCTCTTATTGTTGGAATTAATAACCATTGGAAAAATTGCATGTTTGGGTGTGCTTTTATTGGAGATGAGAAAATTGAATCATTTGTATGGCTTCTTGAGACATTCAAAAAGTCAATGGGAGGGAAATGCCCAATCTCAATCTTCACAGACCAAGATCAAGCAATGTGCTCTGCAATACAAAAGGTAACATTTAAAGATATACATAAAGGTGTTAAAGTTACCTTGTTTCTATTGAGTAGTTACCTTTTTTTTCTAAAAATATATCTGATTATAATTCAGGTCTTTCCAGAGGTCAGACATAGATTATGTATATGACATTTGGAACAAAATGCTGTGACAAGATTTGGATCATTGAAACGAGACAAGGATTTTAAGAGAACATTCTCCTACTGTTTGAAACGATGTGTAACTGAAGTTGAGTTTGAAGCTGTATGGAACTCAATGATTGAGAAGTATAATTTACAAGAAGATAGTTGGTTCCAAAGAATTTATGATCTAAAAGAAAAGTGGTGTCCAGCTCTAAGCAAAGACTTCTTCTCAGCTGGTATCCTCTCTTCCCAACGAAGTGAAAGTACTAATCATGCAATTGGGTTTAGAGCAAATAGATCAACAAGCTTGACTGAATTCTATAGCATTTTCAAAGCTTGTATACAGCGTTGGAGAAGCACGGAAAAACATGATGAGTTCTTGTGTAGTAAATCAACTGCATCATCAGCAATACCATTATCTGGTTTGCTGAAACATGCATCAGAAATCTACACTTTGTCTTTATTCACATATTTTGAAGAAAAATTTGGGTATTCCATTGCAACTACCATAAAATTGCTTTGGCAAAATGGTAGTACCTTGTTCTATATAGTGGCAATTGAAAGTGAAACCTGGTCGCAACAAAAGGTCACTTTTGAATCTGACAGCAACCAAGTTAAATGCACTTGCAAGAACTTTGAAGCTTCTGGATGGTTATGCTACCACTGCATCAGAATATTACACTTACATTCAGTGATGAGAATACCATATCAGTATATGAAGAAGAGATGGACAATGTTTCGGGGTTTTCTGATGTCCTGCGGGAGAGTTACAATTCCGAGACTAGAACCGGACGCCTGTACCTGCAAAATAAACGGATGCTCCGGATGATTGGAGATCCGCCTCCGACGGTCAAGTTAGTACTTGATTAAGGAGTAATTAATGCGGAAATTAAAGTGATTGGGTCTCTCTAGGTGAGAGTGTTTAATGTGTGTAATCTGCGTAATCTCCCTTAATGAGGATTAAGGGAGGTATTTATAACCTCAGGAAACGTGCCAATCTAGGTTTAGGTTAACCTTGGGCTGATTGGGCTTCCCTCGGAAGTTGGGCCTAGGTGGCCGAATTCTCCATTAGGCATGGAGTATGCCACGTGTCATGACATAATAGGTCCAAGGCGGACGAATAAGCGTGTGCCACGTGGCAAACCCTGAGAGGTCCAACTGGGGAACACTTGGCAGGACCTGATTGGCCCACGTGGCGCATTCCGATTGGTGGGAGCAAAATCCCCTAATCATTTGCCCCTCACAGGTGGCACGTGACTGGTCACGTGTTACCTGTGACAGGTGTCGCCCTGTAACAGGCGACGACCTGCACTCGGCGAGAGGCCGAGAGATTCTCCCGCCAAAATTTTGAATTATGGAAGTGACCCTTCGCCTATATAAAGGAGTGTTGACTTCGGTCATTTTCACACTTGAAAACTTTGTGAGAGAACATTCAGACCCCTGAACTTGCTCTGACATTTTGGATCCTTTCTGCCTACCGCCTGCTCTGACAAGCCGACTGCAAAGGATTTTCAGAACTTCATCAATCGTCACTCGTTCAGGTAACCGTCGGTTCTCTTACTCTTAATTTTCTCTTTACTTTATTCTTTTTTGAAATGGCACCACGGAAGCACACGACACGACCTAGGTTAGTGATCAGCCGGTCACCGGGGACGGCTGAATCTAGGACTAGGAGTGCCGCCTGCCCTTTTCTGGACCCATCTTTGCCCTTTATACAAAGTCCGACTGTATCTGTGTTTATGCAGAGCATGATGGCCAGAACAAAAAAGACTGCCAGGATCTCAAACTCAGACGGCTCCTCCCACAGGGTGCCGATTAGTGAAACATCTGACCAGGCGCCAGATGTGGAAGTGAAACAAAGCGGCTTGAAAGCCGGCAGTTCTGAGGGAGGAGTCAAAGTGACCCCTTCCCATTTTACAGTTGACAATTCTACATTCTCTCCAGCTCCTTTTAAAGGAGAAGAGGCAGGCCCCTCCGGGAGAGGGGAGGAGTCGTCCTCTTCGGACTCGTTAGAGGACGGATCCGAGTCTAGCTCTTCTGGCCATGCTTCTCTGGACACAGAAGAGAAAAACAGTCGCCTACAAGAGGCGAGGCTTTCTCACGCAGTTGAGAAGGGGGACGATTGGGCGGAGCCATCCGCCTCTCACCGAGAGCAAAATACCCCCTACTACTGCATGGTACCTCGGGGCCGGATCACGGCCATGCAAGAGAAAGTGGGGAGCTTTATCGCAAACCACACAATGGGCCCCGGATTTTTAGTGTTCGTGCCGGATCCAGAAGACACAGTCGTCTGGCCGGCTGGTACCAGTTATGATGGCGTCTGCTTTGGCTGCTACGAGGCGGCCATCAACGCTGGGCTGCGCTTCCCACTACATCCGGCTGTTCAGCGGATCTTGGATGGGTATGAGTTGGGGTTATGGCAGTTAGCCCCGAACTCCTGGGTCAACGTACTCGGCTATGTGGCCGGGTGCGAACTGCACGGGGTGGAGCCGAACTTCGAGGCTTTCGCCCACATGAACTACCTCAGCCGGACCCCTAAGGCAGGCGGTACCGGCTGGTATCAATTGACGAGCCACAGGGGCTACCTCATGACAAGAGGTAAAGCAAACAAATGGAAGGACTGGCGGAGCACCTTCCTTATCATTGAGAGTTCAGACACAGAGCTGAACAAGCGCTTCAACAGGTGGAACAGGAATCCGCCCTTTCTTGCAGGCGGCCGCAGCATGCCGCCTGTTCCCCCCAAGGCTAAGAAAGAGATCCTAGATAAAGGACTCTTCAAAGTAGAGTCGAAGGTGAACTCTACTTCAGGGGTACGAGAGCAAGTACCCCTGCACTGCGTCCCGAGCTTCAAATGGCTCTACGACGAGTACTTTTTGGCCGCCTGTGGCCTCAGCAGTCGGTGCTCAAGAGGTAGCCGGCCTGTCGAATACTCTGTTGTTCCGTGCATTTCTTGTTATGACTTTTATTAACTTTGCTATTTGTTTTTGCAGCGGACGCCATGAGCAAAGCCGCTTCCAAGACTGCGGCGGCCATGTTGCGGGCCTCCATCATGCAACAGTATTCAACCGACTCCCCCAACAAGGGGGCACCCTTGGTGGGCTTCGAACCTTTCACCCTCTTTTTGGAGTTGTGTTTATGCATATACTGACTCTTTTCTTCTTTTTTAGACGGGCGCTCCAAGAGCTTCTTCTTCCCAACAGCCGGACCCCAAGGCCCGGAGGACGACTGTTGCGAGCTCTCCTGATTCTTCCAGGAAACATGGGGCGGCTGAGAAACAGCCGGCCACTTCTTCTAAAACTCCAGCTGGGCCACCTAAAAGTATGAAATTATCCTTGTAAATTTTAGACTTGCTCCCTTCTTTACTAGGTCTAATCCGTTTGTTTATGCTTGATGCAGCCGGCCCTCAGGAGCCTGACTTGGTCGAGGTGGCCAAGTCTATGATCAAGGCCGTTCCTCCAGCTGAAAGGGAGGCGGTCAGGGGTGTCGGCACCCTTGACCTAGAAGGGATTGCAGGGGTCCTTGCTGAGGTATACTTAGCATATTTTTGAGTATTTGAATTCCAGGACGCCTGTTTTCTTTTTTGTTTGGAAACTGACGCCTGTTCCCCTTTTTACTTAGGCCCTGCTCCGAGTGAACGGCCTTCGCAAGCCTCTTGACCGGAAGAACAAAGAGGTAAAGGCTGCAAAAGCTATGGCCGCCTCTGACTGTGATAAGGCAATGTTTCAAATTGCCCAATGAAGTTCTGACCATTGATATTCTTTATTATCAGGCGCAGGCTACCGCCGCTATCCGGGCTTAGTTAGAGGCGGCCCAGAAGAGGAATAGCGAGTTGGAGGCGACCATCAACAACCTCAAGGCCGAGCTGAGACCTCTTCACCAAAAGATGTCCTCATACGAAACCTTGGAGAAATCCTTGGCGAGCGTAAAGGAACGCCTGTGGCCTCAGCAGGACCTGATTGGCCCACGTGGCGCATTCCGATTGGTGGGAGCAAAATCCCCTAATCAGACAAAGTTTGAAAAATCATCAATTTGGGAAAGACGTGACAATGAAGAACCTAAACAACATCAATACACACCTTGGCGTCAAACCATGGCTAAAAAATTCTATAATCTAATATTGAAAAGTCAATTGAATGAAGAGGCGAGAACCCTTATCGAGGACAGTTATGCTGCTAGCCTTTCTCTTGTTGAAGAACTACTAACAACCATCAACAACACTATTGAAGCAGAGACTAACCAAGCTACTGAAGCAGAGACCAACCAAGATACTGAAGCAGAGACCAACCAAGATATTGAAGCAGAGACTAACTAAGCTACTAAAGCAGAGACCAACCAAGATATTGAAGCAGAGACTAACCAAGCTATTGAAGCAGAGACTAACCTAGCTACATCATTAAGTACAGCAACTGAGGCACCTCTTATATTAGATCCTGAACGTACAACAACAAAAGGAAGGAAAAAAAGGCCACGAGGACCACTGGAGAAGAAAAGAAAGAAGATTGTAGTACCACCACTTGAGTTTGGAGCTATAACCCCTAATTTGAGACTATTTTGATTGATCTTAGATAGATTGTTCTTTAATTTTGAACTATATTCATTGATCTTAGACTATTTGAGATATATTTTATAGCTAAAATAAGATATTTTAAATTATTTTATAAATTCGATCTTGTACTCTATTTTTGTTATCCTATAAAAATTATCTTAAACCTTAAAAATATGCTATTTTTTTTTATCTAAACCTTAGTGCAGCCAAAAAAAAAAAAAAAAAAGGAGGGTCGTTTTCCTTTTGTCGATGCTTGAGATTTGTAAAACAAAGTGAAATTTGTTTCTTCTGTTAAGTTTTTATTTCATACTCCAATATCCATCATATGTCCATTAATTTAATTTATATGATGATTATATTGTGGGATTTATAGAAAGTTAAAGCTGCACAACATATTTGTATAACGAAAGGCCGCAATTTACAACGTAGCTCGGTTTGTTTCTTGCTTTGAATTGATTGCCGTAATGCGATTTTAATTTGTTGAAAGGTAATCACACGAAACTTATTTTGGAGTTGTTTGTATTATATTACGTATTATTATGTGTGAATTGTTTGATTTATTATTTGTAATCGTGTACATATATATGATAAATTATTATGGTATTATATGATTTGATTGGTTTTGAATATCGTATTATTTTTATTGTATATATATAATTGATCGTACATAGGGTTATTAATGTAGAGTATTGTTTTTGGGTTGTGAGTTAATTATATTTGGGTATTAGTTTTATTGCCCTATAAGAGTTGAGATATACTATGATCGAATCGAGTTCGAATTGTCGTTATATAATTTGGGAACCTGTGCCATTATTGAGATATTGTATATTAACCTGTGAATGGTTATTTAATCAAAGTATGAGATCAAAAAAGTTGAGAATTATTATTTTGTTCTTGGTTTGAGGCTCGATGTTAATTACCTTAGTCCTTGGCATGTTGGTAAGGAGATAATGATCATGAGTTAAGAATGAGGTATAATCTTTATTTATATTTTTCTATGGTCCCCTACAATGGGATTTGACCCATATTGGTCATGGTTAGAAGTGTTTTCTGGTTATTGAGTGTATTCAAGTTTTTATACTTGTTGGTTTGTTATTCGAATTACTCATGTCCAAGGCTAGGTATAGAACAAAGAGCATGACACACTTA